GATTCCTTTCAAAAAAGATGGATAGAGGCCAGGGATTTAGCTCAGTGGCACTGTGCTTACCTTGCAAGCACAACATCCTTAGTTCAATCCCCGGTACTGGGAGGAAAAAAAAAGATGGATAAATTTATTGCTGAATTGAAGCCCAACAATGGTACTCATTCTTGACCAAAATATAAGGTTCGTAGGAATTTTCAAGGAAGGCTGGTTTTCTCTCATATCCATCTAAAATGACTATTCTTTTAGTAATTTCCCCATATCCACATATTCTTAAACTAAATTCTGCTAGGTAATTTGCAGAGAAAGGAAAGTCGAGGGCAAAACAGGCATAAAAATTTATGAAATGTGAAATGTGCTGTGGCAGTAAAGTTTCTAGAAGAGGAGATCATTGTGTAACCACAGTGTCTAATGTCCTTTGTATGTAATGTTTTGATATGCTATATATGGAAGGCAACCCCTTCAAATTAATTTGATACTAATTTGAAGGTCTAGGTTTAGATGTATACGAATAATAATCTCTGGAAAATATTTTTATCTATAGCATATAATGTTAAATTAACTCCTACCTAGCAGAAAATTGCTCTTTGTCTTCCAGTGCATTTATGGCTCATGGATCCCTCACTCCATTTCCACCATTCAGTTAACCATTTACCCATATCTTTTACTAAGAAGCACTTCTCTCTGCTCCACTTTATTAGCTTGCAGCTGTTTTCTCTCTGTGGCTCTGGGCCAAAGGAAAAAAATGAACAAGGTTATTACGTCTTTGGAAACTTTTAAAAAGCATATTTCATTCTTATCTTTAAAATCACATGGAGACAATGTAGAATTTTATTGGATACATTACTTTTTGGCATAATTTAGCTTTTGTGAAAGATTTAATTATTTTTACAATTAATGTAGATATTTGTTGTGGGTTTTTTTTAACCATTTTCTAGTTTGTGTAGCCCACCAGTACTGCTGTTTGTGGTAGAAAGGATTAAGTTATAAAAGGAATTAAATTTCTTGCACAGGGTTCCATGGTGAGATAATGGGGCTCTACTCTACTCCCCGACTCTTTCAGATATAATTAAATTAGCCAACTTACTTTTATTTTGGAATTGTCATTTGGATCATGTTTTTAATTTAGGGAATATGTTGTTTAAGTGTTCTAAAACATACTTTATTATGATATAATATTCATAAAATAGTGCACAGATATTAAGTTATACAGTTTGGTAAAATTTCACAAATTGGACACAATTGTAAAATAGAACTCAGACAAAAGAACATAACCAGGGCTGGGGATTTAGCTCAGTGGTTCTGCTGCCTGCCTCAAAAGCACAAGGTCCTGAGTTTGATCCACGGTACCAAAAAACAAAACAAACAAAAAAAGAATATGACCAGAATGCCAGATGCCTTCTCGTATTCCAACCCCAAGAGGTAACCTCTACCCTGACTTTTACATGTAGATTACTTTTGCCTAATTTTAACTTGCAAAAGTGCAAACATACAGCATAAATATTTAGGACTAATTCACCCAACCTTTAATTTAGGAGATTTATCCATATTGGTACATGTAACAATAGCTTTTTTCTTGTTGAATATATCATTTATTTATCCCTTATGTTATTGATGAACTTTAAGATTGCTCTCATTTTAAGCTATTGTGAATAGTACTGCTGTAAACATTTTTTAATATACCTTTGGTTAATATATATGCATATTTTTTATTAAATTCTTTTATTGGTACATTGTAGGTATACAACACAATTACATTTCTCATTGGGAATTGGACCTTTACATAATGCATCTTGGTTCTTATTTTGTCCCCATTCCTAGCCCTCCCTTCACCCCCTCCACCCTTCCCT